ATTTTAAAGACTTCTCAATATTTCATCAATCAATGTTACACACAGCTGTTCATAAGGCTTTGTGAAACTTTATCCTTGAAGGAGTCACCCAGAAAGTCAGCAGCCCAAAGGGACAGACCAGCCCTTAGGAATGGTGAAGACAGAAGTGGTCTAATCCTCTGGAACTGTAATCCTGCACACCCAGTGGGAAGACAGATACACTGAGACTGGAATAAATGTGGGGATGGGCAGTGTGAGGAGCAAACAGAGGCTCTGACTAGAACTTGGCTTCCAAGTTAGCATGAGTTCATCTCACAGCAGGGAACCAACAAGCACAAATTGCTGTCCTGTGTTTCCATTGCTTTCCATGGCAGAGGCGAGCAGTTATGCAATGATGTAAGGAATTTTAGCAGGATTAAGTAATTTTTTTCTGAATTGAGAGAGTGATCTTTGATCTTTCCCTTTGCAGAAAGGATCTGTACAAGCAGGGTGAGCACGTGGACTAGTATGAATGGCTTGCATTGCTGTTAGGCAATACATCAGCCAGGAGACCAACCTCCTGAGAAGTTAAACATTTAATTTCTGAAGGCCTATGCTTTGCCACAAGAAGAACTGTCAGTATCAATTTTTTTTGCTTCAACTCACAAAGCCAGGAGACCTTTCAGTATTTTCTTTCCTTCTCATTTTCCTTCTTCTTCTTTCTGAGGAGCCTTTGTTTGTCTCACACATCTTGCAATGTTGTTAAGGCCAGAACAAAGTAGAGCAAATCAATCATTTCTTCATCTTTAATGAGGTGACTAAAGAAGAATGAACATACACAATCAAAGCAAAGTGGATGCTCAGAGCTTTCAACAAGACAGACTCTTGTTGAATAGAAGCCACTTTTTTTCTTTTTTATGATGCAGTTACTTATTTTCCAGGAATCTGACATAAAGTATATTGAAGCAAATATATCTTTTCTAACAGCCTGACTACCACGGGGATTTTCAGCAGCTACACTAAAAAAAACCCAAAGCACTATGTTATTGATCCAAAAAAATTGCTTTAAATGGAAATGCTAAAAAGTGTCAGAAGAATCCTTATTCTATGACAATTCATTCAATTGCAGTTTAGACTGTAAAAATCTTGCCAATGGAGAAAGATCAAAGAGCATCACTAGAATTAAATTCACAGTATTAACCAGAGTATCTGTGTGTAAATCACAGCAAATTAGATGGTTTGTTATCCTTTTATTTTTAATCCAGAAAGAAAGAGTGAGAAAGAGGAGGAAATCTGACTCCTAGGCCTATGCACTCCCCTGCTATTACTCCTAGCAATGGCTATTGCAGCACACTGGTGTGGGAGTTTGGTGTGTAATCTGGGGCAGCGGCAATGGGGCTTCAATTTTAATCCAGCCAGGCAGCACACAGCAACACCACACTGCAGCCAGGCTCTGGGCATGTACCCCTCAGTTCTTCCTCTGCCAGTGTCTTTGCTCTCAGTGCCAGGCTGGGGGGGTTTAGTCAGAAGGGACTTTCTGGCCCTAGGCACACTCTGCCCATTTTCTGCACCACCTTGAGTTGCTGAAAATGCCTCGTGCCTGCATTGAAGTAGCATTTACAAGCCTCATCTGGTTGGGCTTGCCTACATGGTGGTAATTTCTTTAGTTGCTCAAATGTAGGCTGTCTGGTTTTACATGAAACTTTGAGGGTAGGCCACTCTCACAGTTGCATCCTTTCAACACTTTTTTTTTTTTACTCCTTGTCAGCACACTAAGACATAACACAGCCTGAGCTCTTCTCTTAATTCACTCTATAATTTTTCCCTTAGAGTATAAAACCACAAAAACAACTTATGGGAAATCTTGGCATAGTTATTCCCATTTGTCCAAAGGCAGTCACTACTCAATGTAATAAAGAGCAAACAAGGATCAGTGGTTTGCTGCTCTCCCTAGGTTACAGATTAACTCTGTATGATTAACTATTTATGTATCAGCTGAGATTTTTTTTTTTTTTTTTTTTAATAGTGATCCACTTCCTTTAATTCTTTACATACTTGTTCTGGGGATAGGCAGAAATTGTCAGGGGTAGCAATAACTTTTAATATTCCAGTGTCTTTCTGTCAAAATTATTTGGCACAGCAGAACGCCTTGTTCTGTGCTGTCAAGTAACTCCAAAACTTTGTGAAATATCACTCACAGAGCTTTTTCTGAGGCATGCAAACCACGGAGCCTCTCCTTCTCTGGAGGAAACTAAACCTGTTTTCAGACACAAACATGAACATATATGCAGGTTAACATTTTGTTATTAATGCCATGGCATGTACAAAGGCTTTTGGGGGGAGATATTTTTCTCCACTCTTCCTCATAAGCTAAAATGAAATAATGTTTCTTGATCAGACTCCTGATTCTTCATAAACCAGAAAGTCCCATAGTTTCAGTGATGCTGGTTTGCAAACCCACCATTTTGAGGTAGGTCAGTCAGAAAATTTTGTTCTAAAACAGATGTGTGGCTTGACTTTTGGGATTCATCTATAGTATTTCAAAGCATCCACAGACTGAGTGAAGGATTTACAGCTCACACTGTCTCAAGGTGAGACATAGGGTAGTGGGAAGAGGAGACAAGTACTGCAGTATGTACTGCAGGCAAGGCTGTGGTGTGGTGCTTCCATCACTGGAAGTATTGAAGAATGTATTAGGAAGATACAATATGATAACAGAATACAACATTTCTATAAAGGTAGTTGTGCTTATCCTGGAGCAGAAAGAATCAGGCAAGATACTGGATTCCTTTTCAACCCTGTTCTGCTATGATTTTTATTGCAACCCTCAATGGGTTTTCCTCAATTATTTTTTCCAAGCTAGAGCTGTACAGAGTATTTGCTAAGAAACATAAAACTCACAATTACCAAATTGTATGGTCAGTAGTAATGCTGTAAGAGTTCACTTTCTAAACAGGAACAGATGGGTTTTATTCCAGAGGATTATATATGATCAAGAAAGTGTACTTAACTTGCAGAAAAAGGACAAAAGAAGTCCTCAAGAAGCTACTAGGCAAAATGGTATTAAAAGCATAATCAATCTTTCTGTCATATACAGCAAATTATAGAAAAACTATAACTCTAAAAATCAACTGTTTTTTTTCCAGTGGTCATCCTTGCCCAGTGATGGCAGCAGAATTTACATGGATTTTCAATAGCAAGGAGTGGGGCTTAGTGATCAAAAATGAGGCCATAAGATTTGCTTATTCACTGAGGCCCTGCTTGCACAGATGACCAATTTTTATTTCATGGGCTTTCAATTTTCCATGTGTAGGAATCTAACTGAACAATCAAACAAAACATGTCAGAGCCACAGATAGAGCTTTTGTTTTGTTATAAAGGGCTAATTCTAGGTGCTGCATAAATGTAATTCTAAAACACTTTGAGGTTTTATATAATTACTTTTTCCCAGATCATATCACTGCTCCTACTTTTCATCAGCATGAGCGTATTTTATGGCAATTTTTGAAACATCCTATGACTGGAAAGGCAGAGTGACAACGGGATTATTCGGTAACAGACGTAACAATGCTGCACCAAGTGAGTGGTCCGGGCAAATTTAAGGCAACAAACCCAGGGCTGCGTTTACACAGGAGATGCGGTGAGTGGATCGCGGCCAGGCTGCTGTTGCTGCTGCAGGAGCGCTCGCACCTGCGTGCGGGGACGCGCACACGCCAGGCTGCCTCTCCTCTGTGCCAAAGCCCCCTCTGCTGGGCCAGCCCGACGTGGAACCACGCAACATGAAACCCGCACATCATTCCACTTCCTCCCCAAAAACGGACGGGTCAGCAAAGCAGTTCTCCATCAGCTGTTCCTTCTGTCGGGAGCCCTTTCCCTGACCGATGCCATGGAGTCACTTTTCTAAAATACAGTGTGCTTGGATGAACACACACCTTACCTGTCCCACACGTGAGGTGCACAGACAGCCTTTTGTCCCAAGCATGGAGGACTCCTAAGCTTCAGGCTGTTTCCTGATATCCTGTCAAGGTAGTTCTTACCTGGTAGAGGGCAGTGCCATTCCCCAAGAGATGTTTAGTGCTGCCAGTCCTTTCATCTTTATGGAGAGGGTCCTCTTAATACTGAGGAACGTCTAAACCGGGAGAGATGTCAGAAGGTTGAAGAGTGAAACCAAAGTGTCCCACTGAGTTGAGCAGGCTACTCTGACACCTTGAAATCACTCAGCATCATGGAGCAAAAGTAAAGACTTTTATTTTCCTGAACATGGTGTTAAAGAGTTATTTACTCGGTACAGAGAGCAACAAAGAAATGAATGTGTCACGCTCCAGCTTCCCTGCTCTAATTTAGCTGACCGTTGTCTATGTCCCCTTCACTCAGGAGCCAGCGAAGACAAAGGAACTCCACAGCTACCTTTGATATAGTCTCATGACTATCTGATTCTTCGGACAAGCACTATCATTACAAGCTGTCCACTTTCAGCTTGATCTTGACTCCTACAAAAGCTTCCCAACTGCCCCTTCTCCTTACTATTGCCACACCCAGTATCTGAGCTGCACCCAGGGATGACCCTGTCCAGGGTCAATAATGCATTAGGACATCAGTCAATATGGCTTTTGTCAATGAGCAGCTGCCTGCAGCAGAAGTGCCTTTTAACATGCAGGAGGGTGAAGAGCTGTGTGTGTTTTCTGGACAAAACTGGATGCTGTTACCACCTAACCTCATAATAAACCAAGTTATGCTGTGCTGTCAGGGTGAATTTTCCTGCCAGGCACTTCTGCTTAAGCAGTTAACAATGGCACAAATCTGTGGGTTCAACATCTAGCCTGGCTATAACAAAGTCATTTATACAACCTATGTGGGGTTCCTTCTGGTGTCTGGTGACAGGGGTTTCAAGTTTCAGAACTAACAAAATGGATTATCTTCACCATGTGGTGTTTTATAACACATGCTGAAAATGACATTTAACACAAGCTTGTAAGTGAGAGGCAGTGATGCAGCCACTCACTCTGCCTTGATGGAGACTAAACATGACAGCAACTCAAATAAACACGGGGACTATCACCAGTTTGCAATGAATTTCTCTCACACATGGCTTGCTGGAGCTGTGTTGTTATATCTCACAAATACAAAGAGAAAGCATCCCCAGTGAACAGAGGGAAGAACTGGAGGGGGAAGGACCACAAACCACTGAGATGTGAGAGTAAAAAGCAGCTGGAGCACGTGACTGAGAAGAAAGGAGCCCTGTAATTTTGTGAGGACTCAAGTGAAAAGCATGTGAGCCAAGATACTCAAGGAAAGGCTTACAATTAAATTTTTCCAAGTGGAGTAATTAGTAGAGCATAAATGTAGCCAACAATATCAGTGCAGATAAAAATGGCAGAGAGACATTCAGAGGTGGTAGAAGAGAGACGTAAGTGTGGACGAGGTGGCATAGTTTCATGGAAGAGTATCACAGAGCTGGAGAAGGAGCAGTCCATAAAGCTGTCCAAACTACTCACTGAATCAGCACACCTAGAAAGCAAGGAAAATAAATAACGTTCATTTCTTTTGGAAAACACATTTTAAATCAGTATATTAATCTGAGCTGCCAAATTACTTGTTTTCTGGAACATGTGGGCAAACTGTGAGATACTGAGGCTCACCTTCCTGCCTCAAACATGCTTATGCCATAGTACATTCTCTTCCTGATTCCACCACCTGTAAAATGAGAATAGTAGTACTATCCTGTTCTGTCAGACCTTCTCAAAGATAAATACTTTGATATTGCAAGGGCTCAGGTACAGTGGTGTCCTGATGAAGATGAACACAGAGTAATCTTAGCCTTCTGCTCCAAACATGAATATATCTTACCCCTCCGAGACAAAAAAGAGGCAGTGTTTGCTGTTTTGGTGGTGTAGTCATAGTCTGTCCCTGATGGCCATTCTTTGAACTCATCTGGAAATCAAACAGGTCAGTAAAGCCCACTTCAAAATTTACTTTTAAAGTTCACCAAATTTTTGACAAAAAAAAAAAAAAAAAAAAAAAAAAAAAAAAAAAAAAAAAAAAAAAAAAAAAAAAAAAAAAAAAAAAAAAAAAAAAAAAAAAAAAAAAAAAAGCTACACAAATCATGGTCAGCAGTGTTAGCTAACACAATATTTCCAAAGTTTTCTCTTTACATCTCTTGAAACAGGAGACAATAGAAACATCTGGCAGAAGAGTGTATGACCAAAGCTTTCACAGCACATCTCCTTGACATCCAGAGGTTTTGCTAAGGTCTGAAACAGTGCAGTTAACTTTACCCTTTTGTTTTCTCCTTCTCCCTATGCATTCCCCAAATTTGGCTCTTTCAACCCCTCCAAGCAATTCCTTGCTTGGACCAAGGTTGTGTCACAGGGATCTCACCCTTTGTCATTATCCCAATTCAGCCATGTGGAAATGGCTTCTTCATTTCTGAACTTTCATCTACTTGAAGTTTAAACCTCACAGTTACAGCTCTGTGTAATTTTTGATCAGTTTAAATTTTCTCTTTCTTCCACAACTGGAGCTGGGAAAACTGATTCTCAATAAAGAACACATCCCATGATATAAGAGTCTCTTTCCATCTGCAGAATATCTGAGACAAATTTTAATTTTCTCAAATGTATTTTGTTTTCTACAACTGTCAAAAGAATTATTTTGTTCTGTGAAACTCTAGTTGCAAACACCATTCTGCAAACATATATGCAACTGTTTAATTAACCAATTACTTCAATGAGTAAATTTATAATTCTCTAACAAGTCAGAGTACAAAGACATATTTCATGTTCCAGACTGAGGTTTGCTCGGCTGTTATTGGCCATGTTTGGGACTGCTTCCAGTCTTTGGCTGAGAGAGCAAAAATAACTGTGTAGCTTATATGTATTTCTGTGTCACTGAATGCTTTTGCACTTGGAGTTTGAATGTAACTCCTCTCAGATATTCCAGATAAAGTTTTGTACCAGAGAACAGACAAAACCAGACATAAAGTAGCTGCCAAAATTCACTCAAATACTAATTCATAGCAAACATATTTTTACAATACTGACTTTCAAGCATACTCCTGTACACCCTTGGCAAGCAACAAGGAATCCCATGCTAAGGTCATAAGCTTTATGATTAAATTACAGTGTTTATGGCCCCCTTCTTCAGAGAGAATAAGAAAGCTTGTTAACAGGTTCATAAATCCAGGTGTAAAGATTAACCCAGTCATCCAGGCCTATATGTCATTACTGAATGTATACGTTTTTGGAAGATGGCAAATAACAACATTAGTGTTTACTGTTATGTGCTGAATACAAACTGGAGTAATCTTTTCCCTTTATATTACAGGATGTATAATAAATCCTGAAAAGCTATCAGCATTCTTCTGCATGCTTCAAAAGAGCTTTTATTCTTCTGGGTCAGGTTGAACAGTTCCTGGATTCCTGATTATACTGAGTGGTGAGCAAAACTAACACATGAAGAAACCAGCTCTCTGTGTTAGCTTGCTACAGCACTTGCCTTCACACTTATCTGAAGTGGAAGCCCCTCTGGGTATGCATTCCTTACTGCCCTTCATTTAAATGCTACAGCTTCTTTGCTTTAAATGCACTTACTTTGAACAGAAGACTAAACAGCTGTTATATCCTAATTTAATCCATGTAAAACTCTCATCTAAAAGGGTTGGACAATAAAATGAAAGGAGATGTTAACCCTGAGTACAAATGCCTACAACCAGACTCCAGCACACAATTATCTTACAAATAAAAACTACATGACAAGCTTCCAATGGTGTTTAGAGCCTCACTCCTGATCTTCCTGCAAGATACTCTGAAAACCAGAGACACTGAACCCCTTGGCAATTTAAAGCTTGTTTTATCAGAGTTAACAGTTAACTTCTGGTTGTTCATGAACAGATTATCCAGGTTGCAGCTCAGTGGGCTCCTGCTTTCCTGAAAAACTTCTTTGGCTGCCACACAGAGCCCAGCATGAATCTTCAACTTTTCCTGCAGGAAAAAGAACCTATTTCTAAATAAAACTCTCCAAATCCCCTTCTTTTTTCTCCAGTTACACATTTCTGTACAGAAATTAAATCAGTTTTTATCTCTTTAGCTTCATGCCTGCCATGTTAAAACAATAGTTCTTGTTTCTATTCCTTAAATGCATATTTTGGGAAACTTCTTCCCAGCTGATATTCTGGGGAGAATATAAAGCAAATCAATGTACTGCAGATACTTCCTTTCCCAAAAAAAATAAATAAAAATATTGCTCTAATCCCCTAACATATTCAATGCTGTTGCTATGCTTTTTCTCTAATATATAGTCATTATTGTCAAATTTTCACAACATGTCCCCAAAACGGTTTGATATGAGCTTTAGGAGAAACACCGAACAGATTTTTAAGTACATACAAATTACTTTAGATATTTGTTTAGTGGCACTGTCAGGCAGCAGTACAGGTTAGGCTTTTAATAATACCTTATTTTACAGCTCCAAAGGAAATGTAAGCTCCCTGGGTTGGCAACTTGCACTTGTATATTTTGACATAATAGTTGCCAATACCAGGAACTGGGAAAAGTGAAAGTGAAAATAAGGCACAAAACATTGTGTAGTGTAAAGCCAATGGGGAGTTCACCTGAGATGCCCCAGCTTTTATGATGATCCATCCATCTGCTGCCTTGGCACAAGGTTCCTCATGCTCAGGCTGTCTACCAGGGGCTAGAAAACAAATAGACATCATCTCAATAACAGTGGTTTACAAATTATTTTCCTTCTGATTCCCCACGTGGAAACCCACCTGCTGGCATTGAGCCTGTACCATTCCCTTGCCCATGTTCCATAGCTGTGATCCTGCCCCAGTCAGCTCCTTTGTACACTTCAAGAAGTTGAATATAGTCAGAGACCAGGCGGGCTCCACTCAGATTCAGGGAGCTGCTGCTGAACTCTGACTTTGCTCATGCTCTCTGGCACACATCCCCTGGCATGGTCCAGGATTGTGTTGTCCTGGTAATTCATGCAGGGACCTGGTGGGGGCTGTCACAGCTCCTTTCTCTCCTGTGCATTGAGGTTTCCATTCCTTGGAAACGAGGTGCCAGCAGTAGCAATATGTGCAGGTGTCATTGAGTGATGGTGACATATTTGGCCAAGGCAAGCAGGTGACCTGGGACCTGGGAATTTATCTCAATTTAGACAAAAATCCTGGTATCATGCATTATTTTTTTCCACCATGTCAATTTGTGGAAGCCCATACACAACCGGAAAATACTGAAAGCAATGAAAAAGTGAACCAGGAAGTTTGAAAGTGTTTGGCATTTTAGCTTTAGGTGGAGGACACTGAGGACAAGGAGAGAAGAACAGAGGAGGACTGATGCTGGCACCATCCATGAGGGTGCTACCAAGCCCCAGGTGTCAGAATCCACTCAGCTTTAGTAAATGCAGCCACAGAGAAGAGCAGGCTGGTGGATGTAAGAGCCTTTCTGCACTCAAAAAATTACTCACTCTCCAAATACCTCAGGTGCCCTGTTCAAAAATACAAATGTTTTTCTCCAGCCAGGATTAATTAAGATCAGTGAAACACTTAAGGATCTGGGTGGAAGTCTTTCTCTATAAATATGGCAAATAATATTACACATTGAGCTATTATTCTTCTAAGAAACACATCTAAAATACATTTAGTGATGTAGAAAGGCTTCTGGATGATCTGTGTACTTCCAGGAACTTCAGAATGGCTCAGAGAGCAAAGGCTATGAAATGGCTCTGCTCCATTAATATAAGCCCTGCTCCATTAATTTTGATCTCACTTTTGTTGGGCAATTATATAATTTTTCCAAGACAGCACTGGATAACCCAAAATTTTACTTTTTGAATTTTAGCAATAACAGTCCCTTTTACCTGAAGCTCCTTTATTATTGCATAGTATAGAAAACAGCAACCAGTAAATTAAAAAGGTTTCTTAGACACCTCATAGTAATAATTAGCATTTTACATCTCTTCTTATATTCAAAACAACTTGCACAAGTTACCCAATTAATCCCAGCTCTTTGGGATTCTCTTGCCCCACTGCACTGGCCAGCTCCATGCCTGCCTGCATGGCTCAGTGCCCCTGCCAGGAAGAGGATGGATGGTACAATGCTGGGTATGCTGCCCAGCTGCTTCAAGCTCACCTGGTCCCCATGGTGTTCCACCATGCCACAGACCATCTTTACTAGCAGGTTTCTCCAAGCATGGCCACTTACCAGAAGCTGCCCCTCTGGGCTGCAAAGCAGCTCTGTAGCAAAACTCAACAGCAGTTTGCAGGACCCAGAGATAGGGCAAACCCTTGTACAAGCATCAAATTCAGCAAATAGGGTAGGATGGGGTCTTGTGTCCCCTGCTGCCCTAACCCCAGATTATAGGTGAGGATGCCCCTGACAGCCAGCTCTGAAGGAGCCTCAATGTTCTCAAAACACTGGATGAATTCTTGGTTGCCTCCAAGTGGCCCAGGACCTCACTGTGGGATGAACCTGCAGTAAGGCACGATATGGAATTAGGACCCTCTGAGACCACCCACAGTCTCCCCAAAGCTTTTGTGACTCTCACCTACCATTAAACACAAAGTTTCTTTCCCTAATGCAAAATACTGTGATAAAGAGCTTAAGCCAAACAAAGTTCAAGTGCCCCTCCTGTCCTCTGTGGAGAGGGTACAAGTTTCTCCCTTCTTTCATCAAGCAGACACCTTGGGACTGCTAAGTGGGTTAATGCACACGGCTGAACCACAGGGACCATCCACGTGGGAAAAGTGAAAGCAAAAGCTTTTAGCCTAAACCTTGGCAAAGGAGGTTTTTTTCCTGACAGCAAAAACTTTGAATGTGTCCTACTCTCCTTCCTCAGTCCCTCATTCCACTGCACAATTAGCATCAGTTTGAAGCACTGCAAAAAATACTGGTGTGAGTCACTGATCTCTGATTGTATCTCTGCATTAAATACACACTAAGAGCTACAGAATTTTTTTAAATACAAATTATTTCAACAACTGAATTGATAGCCATCAAGGGCCAAATTCCCTTTGATATTAACAGGATCGCGGCTTCATGATATGATGATATGTGTTAATCTGTGATAAAGGGGCATGTTTTAATGAAAGAGATCAGCTAAAGTAGTAACAGCTTATCTCTGTTCACTAAAGATTCCTTAAATATGGGTCCCTAGATCCTTACTTTATGTGTTCTCACATAAAGAGCACTGTGCTATTTCACCTCCCTCTGCTTTAACCTTCTGACAGTCAGTGTAATGTATTACTGTGAGGTTTTGGGGTGAAGGGGTTGTCAGTGTTTGGGCTTTTTAATTAAATCTAAATAAACTTTTAATGTATTGCAATCTAGGAATGTCTAGAAAAGTTATTTAAATATCCTTATTCTTAAACAACTCAAGCTGCACTAAATTCAGACCCTCAGATTAAATCCTGGAAGATTCCAGGGAGAGTTTCAGTTCTGAATGGCTCTGTGACCTGTTCTGTAGAGCAGATCCCAAACTCAGAGGTACAGGTTCTGTGTTTCCCAGTACATCAGCTGGAAGTAGCACCCCAAATACCCTGCAGACACTATTTCAGAAGTGAGCCAAATCCTCATGTAGGTTTGACAACATGGTGCCCCAGTCACAGAAAAATTAAATTGTGTACCTTGGTCCATCTCCAGAAGAAATGACCTTAGGTGCATTACACCAACTGCTTTTGAACAGATAGACTGAAGATAAATGTGCACACTGTTGAAATATTTTAACTGGTTTTTACTCTTTTACTACTAAAAAGTCCTTATAAAATTAGTGCCTATGCAAACAGTTTTACATTCCCTGCTCTTTTTTTTCCTCGAAACCAGCAGGAAAGAACTTGGTTTGAACACAAGAAAGAGGTTTCATTAGTTGTATTGTTTTATTCTCCTTCCAATTCACTCTTCAAATTTTCATTTCTTGAGAGTGACTTTTTCTGAAGGTACAAATATGTCAGTTTAGAGAAACAAAATCATGGAATCACAGAATACACCGAGTTGGAATCAGTTGCCTTTCTCTTTCTTTTTCCTGTTCTTTCTTCTCAATAGGCCAAGCAAAACCCCTTAGCTTAAGACCTTGAACCTGCCTGCAGCACCGCTGAAGGTCCTGAACACAGAGCTGAACACCTTGGCTGGTGTTCAGGCTGGGGGCTGAGCCCTCTCCAGCTCCTGCTCTTCCTCAGTTCAGGCTGGCACTGGCCGTAGGAGACGGCGAGTGATGGATGGAGGCTGCCAGCAGCACGGCCCCGTCACTCTCCCGGGGGCTGAGCCCTGCTTCCAGCAGGATGCTCAGCACCGCTGTGCACGAGGCCCTTGGAGAGATGTTTCTGCCAGCCAGGAGTCTCCCAGCTGAACCATGCTTGGCTTTTAGCAGGGCCTCACATGTAACCCTAGAAAGTGCTGGTCAGCCCTCTCCTTGCTCACAGCATTTCGTGCCTCACACTTTCCTTCAGTTTCTTACTCCTTGTCACTGGTGGAAGGTGCAGCTACACCTCTTCAAGAGACTGTACCAGACACCATGGAGCAGGCTAGAGGAAAAGCATGAAAATTTGATTTTTGTAGTTCTAGAGCAGGTCTATCCAACTAAAGCCTGATGGTAGATTTGCCCTACTAGAGAGGACAAGAGCCCTTCATTGCAAATGTACGTGCAATGTGACAGGGTTTTCACCTGTGGTTTTCCTGCAATACTCCTTTTAGTTACCATGGATCTTTGCAAGGCAGAAAGGAGATGCATCAGACCTTAAGGTACCATCCTGGTGTAACAGGTCCAAATCTGGTTAACAGGAATTGCCCACTGACAGCAGGTCTACACCAGCACAAGGATATTCAGCCCACCTCTGGCTGTATCTCTTATGGTCTATAGATACACATTATATGCAGTTAATTGTGCTTACAAGAGCTTCATACTCATTACTCAGTGATATACAAAATACATATCTTTATCTATTAAATCTTCACTATCTGTAATTATTCCCCAGGGTACAATAGATAGTGAGTCAGCAGGCACAGATTTAATTATCAGTTTTTACTGTAAGATGATGATGTTTATTGATATCACTATCAGACAGACACTGAAATGAAGCAGATGCTAATCTGAGGTTAAGCTCCGGGAGGCGCCTAGCAGTCTGACCAAAGGGGCTGATGTTCATCAGATAATAAAAGAGGAGACCTCCCTCCTTCCCTCCCTCCAGAGCCTGCACAAAGCTCACAGATGTGCAGTCTCGTTCTGCAAATTCCTCCTCGCACCATTTCCAACCTCCTCTAACAAGCAGCTTGCCCCTTATTCAAAGCTTTCAGTCAGCTCTAGCAGACAGTTTAACCCAGCATTTTATTTTGCTTATACAAGAACTTTGTGGTTGGATTTGGTTTATTTTTCCCCGGTATATCCTAAAGGGTGATGCCAGAGAAGTTGAAAACAGAAGTGAAGTGGTGACAAAGTTGCTGTGACATCACAGTTGTGAGCAGAGTCTGTCACTTATGCCCATCACACCAATGTCTGCCTTAAGTAAATCCACAGCAAGGTAAAACACTGCTCCCAAATTCAAATGGTACAATGTAATGGAAAAGGACCTTCTGTGGGGAAGGACAGAATGACAAAGTAACAGCAGCTTTCCATGGGTCTCAGAATGCCATCACTTTCTAGTGTTGAGTGCAATAATGTGACAGCCTATAAACTAATGAAAAATATGCTGGCAGCTGACACTCTCCGAAATATATTAATGTTTAACATTAAAACTTGCAAAATGACTGGTGAGCTGGTGCAAATGATCATTTTATAGGTATTTCAGTGATACACTTCTTTCCTAGCAAGTAGTATCTGTCAGTTTCGGTGAGAGATAACAAACCCCACATGATTTCTTTTCTACATAGACATTCCTGCTGCATCCTACAGCAACCCCATAATTTTTATTACTACCATTTGTGGAT